ATATATATATATATATATATATATATATTCAAGCCATGGATGGTTGAAACCATGGATGCGGAATTTGTGGATACGGAGAGCCAATTGTATTTGCATTGTGTGAAACGGCCCCAAGTCTAAAGTGAGAAAGAGGGCTGCTTATATAGCTTGTGAAATTATTGGCTGCCTTGTGGACTGCACCTAAATAACTTGAGAAAGTGAAAATGCTTGTGCAACTATCTTAATGCTAGCATAGTGTCCCAACAGGCTTCTAGCCACAGTTCTTACAAACTCAGGGCAAGATCCCAATAAATCCTGCCCTAAACTGTTGTAGGAGTGGTTCCTTGTGAACATAAGAGCTTTGCTGGAACAGACCAAAGATTTGCTAAATCCAATGTTATGTTGAGCAACCAGTTGCCTCTAGGAAGCCTGCCAAGATCTAAGGGCAACTGCAGTTGCCATCTCACATTCTTTAGCAAGTGACATAAAGAGGTATAGCACCTCTGATACTGAAGGTGATATACACAGATTCTGTCAGTAGCCATTGACAGTTCTGTCCTCCTCAAATGCACACAGAGTTGCTTTGAATCAACATTCTTCTGTGATAATTTGAAGCATCAGGGTGTACGTACATCTGTTGTTGTTTATTGTGTCCTCTCTTAATGAATTCCCGCCTGCACTTGCAGAACAACTCAATGGCTCCTTGTGGCTACTGCTTCTTGCATCCAATGCCACTTATCAAGCCAATTATGTTCCTGGTTCAATAGTAAATCCTTTTAGCAATCACTCCCCAAGAACAATAATGTTTTTCCTGATGTCATTAGCATGTCCCAGACACCATGTTCTCCTGCTTTGACATACTATAATAGCTCAGTCCAAATGCACCATCCAGTGCAATGTAACTTCCCAGCTGTGCCAGGACTTCCCAAGCCACAATGGCTTCTCCCTCTTCTGAGATGCTGTTAATTTTCAATCAGAACCCCCAATCTGCTCCTTACTACTTGAAGAGTTGCCGTTTAGCCTTCAATTTACTTATTTTAGTATTCTAATTACTGAATTGGCTGAGGAGGCAGCTGCCTGCTATGTGAAGTTCCTTGTTACCCCCATTTCAAGTACAAAGCTGATGGTGTTGTGGAAAATATAAAAGATACATTTAGTGTCTATCATGAAACAATCTTTAGCGCATTATCAACAAATTAAGTGTAGTTTAGTAATTTTCAAAGAGATAGACATATTAATCTGTTTCAGCGTAAATGGGAAAAGGGGGAAAACTCATAATAAAATAAACCTGTTTCTCTTAGATGCTACTAGATTATATCTCCCCTTATTGCACTTTCCTTTTATAACTTTGTCATTAGGGTAGGTTGGTTCAGATGTCCATCTTTGAATGGCCATGTGATTTTTCTTTCACAACAAAGGTTAAGAATGGTAAGATCTAAGAGTACAGGCCTTGAAGCTGAATACCAGCAGTACATCAAACTAAGCTGTGTAGCAATAGCAATAGCAAGTACATTTCTATACTGCTTATCAGTGCACTTAAGCACTCTCTAAGTGGTTTACAATGTGTAAACTAATTGCCCCCAACAAGCTGGGTACTCATTTTAGCGACCTTAGAAGGATGCAAGCCTGAGCCAAGCCTGAGCCCTTTGGCTGGGATTGAATTTGCAACCTTAAGGTTTGTGAGTGAGTGGCTTCAGTACAGGCATTTAACCACTGTAGCATCAGGTCTCTCATGTTACACACAGGTTACCTAACCATAATCGTGTATGTGCCCTCAAGTTGCGTATTGACTTATGGCAACCCCATTAATTTCATAGGGTTTTCTTAGGCGAGGAATACTTAGAGGTGGTTTGTCAGTTCCTTTTTCTGAAATATAGTTCACAGCATCTGGTATTGATTGGTGATCTCCCATCCAAGTACTAACCAGAGCTGACCCTGCTTTGCTTCCAAGATTAGATAGACAGGATCTGATACTTTTGTTTTTGTTGTTGTGAGCCTTCAAGTCATTCCTGACTTATGGTGACACTAAGGCAAACCTATCATGGGGTTTTCTAGGCAAGATTTGTTCAGAGGAAGTTTGCCAATGCCTTCTGCTAAGGCTGGGAGCATGTGACTTAACCAAGGTTGTCCAGTGGGTTTCGTGGATAAGTGATGAATTGAAATGTGATCTCTAGAGTATTTCTTTCCACATTTCCATTATTCCACATTTCCATTGTTTTATATAAAATTAAAATAGTGTAACATGCTGGGCTGCTTTTTAGATTTCTGTTTGCCCCACTTGAGTTTTTGGAGCTGTAAAGATGTATTGCAGCAGAGCAGGTTATAAAAATAAGCACATGTTAGCTCTGGAAAGGGAGCCAGCCTAAGTATAAACAAAAATAAAATGAAGATAATAGCAGGCTTATCATAATAACAATTCTGACAGTGCAAGGTTACTGGCCTAATGCCTGCAAAACAGTTTCACACCTGTACGCAAGAAGGTGGGAGAGCCAGTGTGTCATAGTGGTTTGAGTGCTGGACTACAAGTCTGGAGATCAGTGTTCGATTCCCTGCTTGGCCATGAAACCACTGGGCAAGTCACACACTCTCAGCTCAAAGAAAAGGAAATGGTAAACCTCCTCTGAACAAATCTTGCCAAGGAACCACCATGATATGTTCACTTTAGGATCAGAAATTACTTGAAGGCACACAACAACAACAACAACAACAACAACAACAACAACAACAACAACAACATGAGACACCAGTAGGTTTGGAGAGAAAATAAACCTCAATATGTACACTTGCTGAAACAGGTAGAATAGCAATGATGTCTACATTACCTCAGATCCCTCTTTTTGTTGGATGAGAGAACATGGGACAAGTACCTAAATGAAGGCTGAAGAGGGTATAAAATAGAGGCCTTCTGAGCAGCAAAGTACCAGATTTTGCTTTCTGTAAAGCTGGTCCATTTCTACTGCTGCTGCTGCCGCCACCACCAAGTAATTGCTGGTAACCCAAACTCCCAAGAGTAAAACAGTCCTTTCTTGTTATTTAATACTCAGCCCAATGCTCTCCATGAACCATGGAAGGGCTTCAGAGCCTGTTCAGTGATTTGGAGGGGGGCTTTTGGTGCCCATATAAAAGACATATGTGTCCCTAACAGGATGCCAGTGAGTGTGCAATGCATAACATGTGTAACTCTCTTCTTGTAGCCTTCAACTGAATACAGCTATTATATATTGTTTGTGCATGGCAGGGAGTTGTTCTGGATGCTCCGTCCAGCTCTGTGATTCTATGATTCTGTATTGACACAAAAAGTACAGCTCATGCACAAGCACATGAGTGAAGACACCAGCAGGATGCCAGTTTACCTTTTTATTACCATTGGAGAAAATGTGAGTTGCTGGGGTCAGAAGGAGGACAAGCACAATGCTTTAGAGCAGAAACACAATCAGGTAGGATGATAGCTTTAATCAATGGGCACATGCTACTTTTGGATATTTCACAGAACGATAAGAGGGAATACAGAGGTGGGTGACACATGGTGCCTCAGATGTTGTGGTGCTACCACTCCCATAACTTCAAACTGTTCCAGTTGATCCTCTGCCATCCCACTTTTCAGCTGTTTTTAAAATGCCTCAGTTTCTTTCTTCTCTCATTTCCCCCTTTTGTCCTCAGGTTACTTCAATTTCTGCAAACTGAAATCAACACACAAGGAGATTGCACTCCATTGACTCAGAAGGGAGAGAGAAGGGGGACAAATCTTGCTCTTCCCAGTAAGCACAGGGTAACACAAACCACTTCACCCTCTCCTAGCTTTTGTGTTCTTCCTTATTAATAACTTTTGCTATCTCAACCACACTCTGATGTTGCTTGGACATACATGTCCCAATTTTCATCTGTGAAATATTGGAGGGTATGCACTCTCAACATTCTTGACCATTGGCCATGCTGGCTCGGACTGCTGCATGTTGGAACTCAACAACATCTGGAAGGCCACATTTTCTATGATGTAATGGAACCAAGAATTACAGGGTCAAAGTGCTGGAACTTTTGCTGATGTCATCTGTAGCTCCCTCAGGCTTCTCTAGTTTCTCTGAGCAATTTAATGTAGCTGGGGAGAGGGGATAGCTTTTCCCAAAGACATGTCTGTTGTCATGCAAGATACAATTGGGTGCCTTGAATGGGCAAATAACAACCATTGTTTTTTTTTTTTTAAATCAAAGAACCACTTTTCATAGAATTGAAAATGGCTACAACTGGGTTGATGCAATGGATCCAGGCAGCTGCCTTCATTTTTGGACTCTCTTCAGAAGGCTGCACTTTAAAATTTACCACCGTACCACTGCACATTCCCCACCCTTGGTGTAAAACTTGTTCCAGAAAGTGTGCAGATTGATATTTGGTTTGTTTCTTTTCCATGCCTTCTTGGATTGCTGCTGTGTAGGCGATAAAAGACAGCCTCTTTGTTTAAATACACAGTTGGCTCCATGAGGCCAAAGGATAAAGTGCATCATTTAGCTGGCATCATGCACCCTGTCTGGCTTGGAAAAACCAGCAAAGCATCTTCCTTCACATCCTGCCTTTAGACAGTGGCGAGCAAGTGGCAGGACTCTCCAAGCTGGCATGTCACCCACTTTGCTGGAGGAGAGGTGATGGGATCATGGGAAAGCTCAGCCTCCAACTGGCTGCTGTCAGATAGGCAGCTGTTTCCCAGCATTGCAGTGGAAACAGAACAACAGCCAGGCCAACTGTATATCCCGCCTGCCTTGTCTCAGATTGCTGTGGGTAACAGGCACCCTGGAGGCCATTAGAATGATAGATGAGGCAACCACCTCATGCTCGCTGGCTGGATGTGGGCTGATTACAAAATGGATGATTAGAATTACAGCTGAGCAAGCCCCAACTCCACAGGGTATGGGCAGGGTGCATTCCTGGCAGATGGAGGGGGGAGCCCTCTGGTCACACTTAACCCTAAACAGAGGTTGGAAGAAATTTTCTTATGAGAGAACAACTCCCACGATCCCCATCCATTGGTTGGGAGATTCTGGGAGCCATAGTCCAAAACATAACATTTTCCAACTTAGAACCCAATCTAGCTTTCAGTTGTACATGCACTTCTAGGAGCTACGAGAGGCAAAAATACAATTGTAGCTCTTCATTATGTCAGCAGAGGATGAACTGCTCCCCCAACCAGTTTTATAATGCACTGTTACTGATGATTTTGGATTTTTAAAAAAGTTTTTAAAAAACCAAAGGGAACAAACAGAATATTTTTTCCTATCTGAAAATGCTATTCTTAAAAGATTGCAAAAGGTTTCAGGATTAGAGCTCTGGATCTGTTGCTTTTGAGTCTGGCTAAATAAGCCCCTATATAAGATAAAGATTGGTTAAAACAAAAATGAAAGCAAAGTATCAAATGGCATAGTAGCTTGCATCCAGGCAGAATTAGAAAGAGACACAGAAGGGGTATTTGTATTTGGTTTGGGGGTTGAGAACCACAATTTGGCAAGTTAGAGATTCTGGGAGTTGTATTCCTGAAATTAAACTTTCCAAACTCTGCCCCAAACCATCTTTAATCTCCCAAGTGAAACATTCATACATAAGAATTTCAAACTGATCATCATTTTTCAAACTACAAACCCCATCATGCAAAAATTAAATCGTCCTGTCCCCTCATTTCTCATTAGCTGCAATGCATAAGTACTGAGCACCAGAACATGTTCTCAAAGGCATCTGTATGGTCCCCACATCCCATATTTCTTCATTTTGGGGAAGAAAGCGCTTCTTGCTGTTTTTTTTTTTTTTTAAATGCATGCAGAACATGAAACTGACAGCTGTTTCTATCCCTACTCTTCTGTTATATCTCATTATGTAGTTAACTGCTAAATGGGAATTATATCTGTATGGAGTCAGGAGTTTCTGTGCCTCTTTTGTCCATCTTGTGTGTGTGTGTGTGTGTGTGTGTGTGTGTGTGTGTGTGTGAAACAACATTTTTGTCTATCTCTCTGAGATGTGTCCCCCTGTGGGTTCATTTTCGAGTTGCTAGGGCAGAAGATGGGAGAGAAAATATAATGACAATATGGGTTGGCCATGTTTTGACTTCTCAGCTCATGCCTCAAAGAGTGCTAATCAAAGTTGAAGAAGTTCTTTACGATTTGCTTCCAAAAAAGATTTGTGTTTTTTTTTAAATGTCTCTTGTCTTGAACAGTTTATATGGCTAACTGTTTGAATGAGAGATCATGCTGCACTCCAGAGGTGACAGCCTATCTGCATAGTGTAAAAGGCATTTCAGAAGGAAAAAAAAGAATGTCAGTTATTTATAATTTTTAAGCTATTGCTTCAGGCAAATAATTCTAAAACCCCTTCACCAAACAATCTCTTTCTCCTCACTCCACCCATACATTTGTTCTTTAACATTTTCCCACTTTGAAATACCTTTGGTTGCACACATTAAACTGCGGGGAAGCAGGACTTAGCTTGCATTGCCACACTTTTTCTTTTTTTGGCTTTCCATGTTCATGGTTTTACAAGTCTCTCTTGCTCTTTTCCAGCAAAGTGTTCGCTTGACTGCCCAAGAACCCACAGAGGCATCAGCTGAGAAATCTGTGGTGAGTAACCCACTGGAAGTTCAGAGACATGGAGTGTAGTCATGTTGAAACCATCAATGTTTCAGCCTGTGTCTTTCATTAGAGTGTGCCAGATAAATATTTACAGCTGGTCATGGGAGGAAGCAAGCTGGAGGGACATCTGCACATTCTTTTTCATTTCACTGCTCCTCTAGTTTAGGTTTGTGTCTTTGCACAGTATGGCATCCGTTTTTATTTTTGTTTTTATTTGAAATCTTTATGTAGCCAAACCCTGTTGAATAACTGATGCCATGTTCTTGCTGTAAAACCAAGATATCTTCCAGAGTTTTTGTCAAGAAGGTGATACTTCAGTGACCAAGAGCTCAGAACTCAGTCCTTCTTATTAAGGAGTTTAAAATGCCATGACAGTTCTGTGTTGCCTTGCTCTGGGTTGTGCGATGTTCAAATTACAGTTATGGCCAACACAAAAGAATTACAGAATCTTGGTGCAGCTCCCAGAATCCTGACCATTGACAAAATTAGCTGGGGCTTCTGGTAGTCAAGGTTCAAAACAACTGGGGGACCAAAGTCTGACAACTACTGATGCATGCTGGAGAAATCTTGCAAACATGAGATATAGCTGTCCAGCCTTTGCTTAACTTCCTCTGGTAAGAAAAATCACTACCTAATGGGTCTGTTTCACAGTTAAGACAAGTGTTATAGCTGCAGTCTGGCCAGTGCAGAATAGAGGGGCATTGTAGATTTATTCAAGAATTATTAGTTTGGGCAATTTCAATATGTAAACAGTGGGGTGGAGTTGCATCATGTAGGGCTGACCCCAATATAAGGGGTGATCCATGAGTATTCCCTTCAAGTGTACTTTGTGTGTACAGTTATACTCTGTGTACATCATTGTATTGCACAAGGAGACACCAAACTACCTAATGTGTACAAATCTGGGGACAAAGCAGCCCAGTCCAGCTCCCTACTCAAGCCTTGACTTCCTAGT